ATTACAAACGCAGGTATTTTGATAGCTGTAAGTTAAAATACAATAATAATGTAATTATGTAACAATAGTGAATAAAATAATTAAAGAATATTGGATTACTACAAATGGTCTGGTCTTTTGGTTTTATCGAGTGTCATTATTAAAAAAGGATTGTTATTTATGTTTCCTTCATTTTTGTTCGAAAGAAAACATAGAATGAATGATTAAAACTGGTTTCCTATCAGTAAGTCACAAAATTGCATTTCAGTCACATGCATTAATCAAAGGCAGACATCTAGTCATTACATGTAATTAAAGAGAGGATTTTTTTTCTAAAAAATAGGGAACAAAAGGGGTAACTTATGTAATTTCTCCGAAAAATAGTATTTTCTTCAAAAATGACTTTAAATTGTATTTTTTTCAAAGACGGTAATTTTCCTAATAAATTGGGGGTAATTTTACAAAAAATAATAATTTGGGTAATTTTTTTAAAAAAAAGTTTCTCTCAAACAAAAGACGTTATAAAAAATGTAATTAAAGAAAAGAAAGAGTAACTTTTCTCAAAAATGGGGTAACAACAGAGATAATTTTTCTGCAAAGGGTTAATTTGACCCAAAAAAGATATTTTCTTCAAAAATTACTTTAAATTAAATTTTTCAAAGATGATAATTTTTCTAATGAATTGGGGTATATTTACCAAAAAGAATAATTGGTTTTTTTAAACCGAAACAAAAAAATTTCTCAAATAAAATAAGTTACTTAAAAATAAAATGTTAACTGAAGTTCACCTAAAGACGCTCTATTATGGATTAATTCAATCGCAGTTGAGTTATGGAATAATAGGATGGGGCGGAGTAAGTAACTTTTACCTACAAAAAGTAGACATTATTCAAAAATGGCTAATAAAAATAATATATGGGAAAAGTCGTACTTACTCCACAAACTCCCTATTTAAATTATCGGGGCTATTAGATATTCGGCAGATTTTTCGTTTAAAAATATTATTATTTACTAAACAAAAAAAAATTAAAATAGAACCCATTTCTCACAAGTACGAAACGAGAATTAAGAGAAGAGCATATATTACACCAAGATGCGAAAAAACTGCAGGTCAAAAATGCTGTTCCTATCTAGCACCTAGAATATTTTCAATAATCCCCGATTTTTTAAAAAATATACAACAATACAAACACTTTAAACAAAAAATTAAAAAATGGATAGGGGAAAGTGACAGAACAATATTTCATAAGTTTGTAAATTCAAATATGTAAATAATATAAAATGTGTTAATAATATAATATAGGTAAATAATATAATATAAAATAATAGACTTGAATTTGACGCTATACCTAATTACATTACATAAAATTACGACAACATGATTAGAACAATATTCCCGATTATAACAATACACCCGAATATGACAATACACCCGATTATGACAATACACCCGATTATGACAACTCATATAATTATGAACTATTCCTGATTTTGACAACTCACTTAATTCTGAAATTTCATTGTAATCTTTTAGTTCTCGAATGATAATAGAAATTATTATAGTAATTAAGATTAATATTAAGGATACAAATGTATGAACTTACTAAATAAGTATATCACAATACAAGCTGAGCCTCTTCTGGGGTGACGCTTCTGTGATTAGTCGTAGTTTATTCAGCATAATATTTTAATTTTACATGTAAATATTTTTTGGTATTGAATAAACTCATTATATTTAAAGAAAGAGTAACTTTTCTCAAAAAAAATGGGGTAGAGAAGGGATAATTTTCCTATAGAGGGTTAATTTCTCACAAAAATTATATTTTTCACAAAAACGACTTTAAATTGTATTTATCACAGAAGGTAATTTTTCTAATCAGTTAGTTCTAAAGCAATTTATTAAGAAAAAATGAAAAATAAGAAAACGATGAAACAAGGAGAACTTCTCGTATGACCTCCTAACCTAACCTTCGTTCAAAGAAGATAATTTGCTTGGACCATGCTGTTGGTGTCCTCAGATACATTACCTGTGCTGATGGACAAAAGCCGCTTAGAAAGGATGGAGATGGTCTTAGAGGTACACCTCATTCTCACTACAATAGAAGAGTATTCAAACAAAATTAGTTACATTCCCGAGGAAAACAGTGTTGCTTAGTACGCACAGAAATTTCAGAATTAGCATCTGAAGGTGTTAAATACACATCGGAAAAAGAACTTCATGATAAATCCACATGCAGATGTGATAGAGGTGCCGAAGGAATAAGGCGGAGGGCAGAAGCTAACGAGAAACGAAGACAATTTTATAAAACAGAACGGGGAATGGAAATTAGGAATAATTACAAAGAAAAACAAATTTAAAAAAATACTCTAATTACAAGTTTACTGAAAATGAGCCTAAATAAAAAAGCTGAACTTCAAAGAGAGACAATTTTGAAACTCATTGAGTTACTGTAAATACTTAATACTGTTACTTTAAAAATATAACTTTGAAACAAAATATATTTTATTTTCATTGTCCAATGTTGGCTTTACCCTTTACAAATAACTTTTTCCCATTTAAATTATTAACAATATTTATCCAATCTTTACTTAAATGTCCACACCAGCACTCTACTGTTCCATTTAAAAAGCATTGGTGTCCAAGATCCTATACATACAGACTTATTTGATTTACGGATTGAACCGATAGCTGGGATGAAGTATTTGGTATTCTAACGAATCCATTAATGATGAAATTTTCCTTACTGCATCAATCTATTTCTGCGCTTGCGCAATATAGATTTTTTGGGATTTGGAAACTATGTAGCACCAGTATTATAAAATAAGCATTCCTATTTGATTTTTATTCATTTTAAGCCCTTTCTTAGCGCTTTATCGATGTTCCAAAGAAGAAGATGACGGCAAATATGTGATCCTCACGTTCTACCATTTCATTTGATGTATCACACGTAGTTCTAGCTCGTCATCAATTTTAAAATGATGTTTGAATGACAGATTCGTTATAAGCATGTTGCATTACATTACATACTCAAAAATTACAGAAATCGCAGACATTAATTCAAAAAGTGTCAATAAGGCACAACGAATGGCAAATTCATAATAAGTATGTCACGTGACATTTCCCTTACAAAATTTATGAGAATCGGTAATATGAAAGATGGTGGGATACCGATAGTAATAAGTTGATAATTTCAGCTAGATAACAGTTTAAGATAAACACCAATAACAACGATCCGTTAATGCCCTTTTGTCTTTGATGGCAATTCTTTCATTGGAAATGACAGCTAGATGACAGTTCACGCTGAATGCCGTTTGTCCCGTTTGAATCGGACCAGTAATATCCGAGAAACACGCTTGGATCCTTCTGGCTTTCGTTTTGCGCATGATTTTTATATTCGACGTTAGTCAATACTGAGTTATCTACATAATGCCGTTTTTCCCATTTCAATCGGACTAGTAATAACCAAGAAACACGCTAAGGCCCTTCTGACTTTTCATTCTGCGCATGATTTTTCTCTTCAACCTTTATCTATAATTCCGTTTTTCCCGTTTGAATCAGATCAGTAATAACGGAAATTGAAGCTTGGGCCCTTCTGGCTTTTCGTTCTGCGCATGATTTTTCTGTTCGACGTTAAAAGATATTTAATTCCCCCCATTCCCTCCACTCCCTCGGATCCCAGCTGGTGGCTCGAGAGGTTAGTTACTGATAAGATCCTCGACGTGTGACGTCATCGTAAAAATTGCCAGAATGAACCTTTAACCTTTAACAATTATCGCACTTGCAATGTTCATGTTCAAGTGAAAAAAATTGTTACATAACTAATGCATAATAGAAAAATCGCCATAAAAATTTTTTGACGGCAGATTATTGTTCATTCATCTATCCAGTAAACGCTTAATTTTTTTCAATGCGTAATGTTCATATTTAATAAGTTTAAATAATATTTAATCATTAAAGGTCCACAGTGGGAGAAGCTTACGCAAGCCACAGTCTCCATTTTCGGCCGTATTTTCAACCCCCTGGAAAAATTATAAATTTTGGTCCTACAGTTCCGGGAGACGGGACTTTTTGGAGGGAAATTTCCTCCTCTTTTTGAATCTTTTTTCAAATTTGAAAAACGTCAAATAGTTTTTGAGATATTTGCAAAAAGCCAAAGCCTATTTTTTTTAAGTTAATTGTTTATAACTTTTTTCAAACGGCCTTTGATTTTTATTAATCATCTGCACGCTATTCCGAATCGAATGACATCTCGTTCATATTTTTCGGAGGCAGAGAGAAAAGTTTGACCCAAAAAGCACTTAATAACTAGACTATTATGTATATTTGTCAGAAGACAACAAAACTACAGTTTTAAATAGCTATTTACCACCAAAAGGAGATGGATGGCGTACTTTCAAATGAAACTAGGAAACTTGAAATGTCCACATCACCCCATGTACCAAAATGTACTAATCTTCTTAAGTCATCAATCAACAATGATGTTGAAAAAGAACTTTCTGTACCAAATTCTCTTCTGACAAAATCTGATCCTATTGCAGAAGACCTAATTAGAAGACCTATTTGAGTGACTACTGCAGTTTTTAAAGCCGGGAAGAATGGGATAAAATGTTCAATTATTTCCGCCTTGTATATTCATTGTCATTGTCAATATTAATATTAAGTTTGTTAGTTTATTTTGTATGCATTATTTTAAGTTGAATAAAGTCATCGATACTGGTTTCTTATTACTCTTTCAAAAATGTATACCTGAGATGTGTAAAGTTAATCGTTTGGATGTTGCGTTTGTTCGCTTTATATCATTTTTGTTTAATTTTTTCATGGAATCCTCACCTTTAAAGTTATTTATAGTGGACAGTTTTCATTGAAATTCCCTATATAATGCTCATTTTATATCAAGTGCAATAATTTATCTAGTTGTCCTAATTTGCATATACAGCTAAAGAAAAACTAATTAATATGACATGTGATATGTTCTAACAACGACCGATTTAACGTAACATTACCAAAAATTCAGCCGAGGTCATAATCTTGTAATGTGCTTCACCTTTCTCACGTTTTCAAGACGAACTTCCAACCAAGCAAACGATACAACGGCTACCACTAAAAGAAAACTTAAAGAGTACAATTTCCAAACGTTACAAAGAAGCCCGTGAAGGCCGAAAAACAGAGAAAGACCCAAAAATTTAAAGAAAATCGAATTGGCAAACGCTGCTTCCCAGTTGTTGGTATACTGTCCAGTCAAAAAAGCTGTAAAATGAAACAAATAAATTAGTTAATTTATTCGATTAAATATTAGTTAAGTTACTTACTGAAACTCAGCATTTCCCAAATTGCATTACAGACGCCCCAAGAAGCTGAAATGACATAAAAGAGCGCAGGGTCATCTTCAGTCGGGTTCCAAAGTATAAGAACCATTAAGAGACAGCCATGAAATGTGAATCCTACACCTGTGAATTTTGAAGAGTTAAAAAAATCATTGTAGTATCAAATAAAGTGACAATATTATACTTACCAACAACATAATATCTTCTGATTGTCCTAAGAAACATACTTAGTGTACAAGCAGCTATTGATTGTAGAACACCCATAGCCAAAAATACTAAATTCAGTCTGTGAATTCCTAATGTGCAGACGACATAAGACTAAAAACGAACATATTTTAATTGTTTTTATTTCATTTGCAAAACAACTTACTTTGCTGAAACCAGCATACATAAAAGCTTGTTCAATTCCTATAAAAATAGCCAATGGGGCAGCCATTTGCAGTCTTGGATCTCTGAAACTTTCTTTTACTGCCCGTATGGCGGCCATTGCCTCCCCCCTCTCCAATGGATCCTGAAAAATTTTAAATCATTTCTTACAAGATTCGTATTTTGTTTTAGATTTTGTATTAGTAATTTGATCAGTTTAGTTAATCATTGCAGTATTTATTATTGAACATAAGTCCTTTAATAAAAAAAGAAGAGGTCAGAAAAGTGAATATTCTCTCTAGAAATAGTATATTTTATTATAAAGACATAAAAGTGCATCACTTTTTTTGTACTACTGACTCTTGAGGTACTCCATTAACAACGGCTTGGGTTTAAAAGAAATAATTCCTTTTAATTGTATAGTGACAGCTAAGTTTATAATAATGTTGGTATTTTTTTATAAACTGTCATTTTAAGTTCAATGTTGTCATATATTTATTAGGCATTCCAAATAAATGAATTACCAGTGGGCAGGTTTGGTATATCTAAAGGTGGCGACATATGGTGTATTCTATCTACTTTACGTAAAATCATGAATAATGGATTACATTTAAATATTTTATGTCAAACACAATAAAAATAATATTTAAAAAACCCACCTATACATTTCTTCATAAATTGGCGAGTACTACTTCGAATAAAAATAGCGTCCAAGTTGCAAGACTATGTCGCTACCCCCTTAAATATACAAGAATTTCCCACTGGCACCTATTGTTTGATAGGACATTGGAATGCCTAATTGTGTCTTGTAATTATGAAGACTAGAGAGAAGGAGGCGAATCGGCAATGGTCAAATTTCAAATTTTGGTCCTTCTTTTTATAAAGTTCGCGAAATTGACTGTAGTTGGCATGTCTAATGACAGCGCAGTCAATTTTTTTTGTAAGTCAATGTAAAATAAAGTGATTTTTTAAAAAATTTATGAAAATAATCAAAATAATATGAAAAAAGTACCTGAGTAAAAGTAACATGAGTGACAAAAAACATCAAAGCAAGATTTACGTCATTTCAGATTGTAAAACAGGATAAAAATCAAATGTAAAACTAAAGAAAACATAAGAAGAAATCAATTCAATGTCTTTTTAAATCTTCTAATGTAAGTAAAATAATGTATTCATGTCTAAATATAATATTTAATGTAAACTAGTCACAATTATGTGTCTTATGAAGTGTAGTTTATTTTATTACAAGTTTCTATAATATAAAATTTTACAGTTATAGATGCTGACTTACAAGAAACAATAATTATGTATAAAATTTAACTTACTAGAAAAGAAAATTAATTTTTTATAGAGTTTTAATGTTAGATAAAGAGTTGCTACTATTATTTTTTTTGCCCCAATTGTGTCATTGTAAATGTTTTTTATAGGATACTAAACGTTTAGAACAGTGACAGCATATATATCGTTTCTCCTGCCGATAAAGCACTTTCTAGAGATGATGCTGTTCTATACTTTTTAGAAGATATCAAATATTATGAGACTATTCTTACTGATGGTACTGTTAGCAAAATAAAAAGGGGAAAGCTGAAATTAAAGGATGAGGTAATAGCATGTACATTCCCAAATCTCCCTTTATACTTGTATTACAACAATAAAAAATCTGTTCACTGTGTTTTATTTTACTCCTAAAACTATATATTAGTTCAATTGAAAAAAAAGTTTGTCACAAAATTGTACTTATCAAATTTCAGCATTTAAGAAACCTTTTCGGATTTGGTCATACGTACCTAATTTGTATTTTATATAGATAAAATTAAATAATTTATCAATTAAAACATGCAAGACTTATTTAGAAATAAATTCAACAGCATGTTCTCTGCTTTATTTAGCTATAAACAAGTTTATTTTTATTATTTTGACAAAATTATGTATAATTCCCATAAGAAGCCATGTATTTTGAACAGCGTATGCAGTACCAGCGCCCATGCGGTTAATTATAGAAGCTCAATTAGCATGCGTTTTTTGGGACCGTATTTTGAGTATGCCGATTCGTCTTCTTATCTCTAGTCTTCATACTTGTAATTGCAATTTGTTGATATTTTAAGTTATTTATTATTTTTGGTTATTTTGTTATTATTGTTGGTCGTTCCGTTATTATTTTTTTGGGATATTTGGTCATTATTTTTAGTTATAAAAAACTGTTCTGTTAAGAACAACCATATTGTCTTCCTCGCAGGTTTAAAAATACCAAAGAAATTGAAAAGCCAATGTAAGGAGCTCATAGTATTTTGAACAAGAACGCGATAACAATGGTTTTTTACTACCTTTAATTGTTGTGAGAGAAGTAAGTTTTTACTGATATTGTCTAGAAACATCAAACTAATCTCATTTGTTAGCGTGTATCGGCAGCACTTAACTTAAATTTGTCCACTGTAAGTGCTATTTCTCAAGCAGCTAAGAATGATGTTTTGAAATCGCCTCCAAAAAAGCGTCTTCGTACAAAGAAAGTAACTAATACAAGAACTCTAGATACAAGTACAATTCGATATGTTATTTACAATATGTATGAAGCTAGTAAGTGCAGATTATTTATTTTATATTATCTAATTATAAATACCTATATATTTGTTGGCAGATGAACACGTAACTTTGGATTCTTTATTAGAAAAATTGACAAAAAAAGAATTATATAATGGATGCCGCATGTTATTATGCACCTTATGAAAAGATATTAGTTTTAAATGGAAAAAAGATAATCCAAGGCGAGGGCTTATGGAACTTTCCGATGTTGCTGTAAAACGAGCTGTATGTTTAAGAAATTACATGAAAGAAAAGGAAACAGGTTTATTTCAATTTGTTTTTATTGATGGGATGTGGATGTTTCAAAATGGGACTTTAAACCGTTCTTGACAAGATAAAAATAAAAGAACTGTGAAAACCACAAAAGTTGATGGTTAAAGGTTCGTAAATAATTACTACATGCTTAAGTTGAAATTTTTATTTATAGGTACATTATACTCAATGCTGAAAATGAAAATGGGTTTATTGAAGGAGCAGAGGCTATATTTGCGTCACAAAGTAAGCTGAGTGATTATCTCGGTGAAATGAATAATAAAAATGTTTTTAAATGGTTTGAAGAAAAGTTACTGAAAAAACTTAATAAACCATCCTTAATCATAATGGACAATGCTTCATATCACAGAACATTGTTATATAAAACACCACAATCGTTAGGTGGACAAAGATTAAAATACAAATCAGAATATTAGATATTCATTTTTTATGTTTAAAGCGGAACTTCTGAATCTTGTTGTAGTCAGTAAAAGAAATCTGTAATTATTTTGCAATTTGTCTCTACCATAAATAGATTATTTAAATATATATTAAAAAGAATAGGTCCTAGCACAGTCCCTTGTGTTACTCCACAAGTAATAGTTTTTTCTTGGCTCAACATGTCACCTATTTATACTTTTTGTTTTCTATTTCTTAAGTAACTTTTTAAAAGTTCATGTGCATTACCCCTTATACCCATATCATACAATATATCAATGGTATCAAAAGCCTTTGCTAAATCTATGAATACACCAATAGATGGCATAGTTTCGTCAATACTATCACGATACACCACATACTTTGATTTTCTTTTACTATACGGAGAATGGTCGCACTTCGCAGCTTTCTGAGTACCTTTTAAAAGGAGATAGAAAACTCCGCCATTTTGATCCCTTATTACGTGTTGCCTACATCTTGGCGCAATATTTTTAATAGGTGCGTTTTAATCATCCGCTTCTGCTTCGGAATTGTCGGTTTTCTTATTTTAATCTGACAGGTTAAAACGACTAAACCAACAATTCCGGAAGCAGAAGCGGATGATTAAAACGCACCTGATATGTTGCTTACTGCTGTCAGTGTCAGTGAATATTATTTTTGGAGTCACAGTTTATTACTAAAGAATCAGTTAGCTCACTCCCAGATAACAATTATACATTCTTAGCATATTCTTAGTATATACTTTTTAAGAATACGCATATGCTAAGAATATACTGTATTTGCATTTGGTTCATTCTCAGAATGTGCTAAGCATATACTACGTGACGTTGTTTATACGTGCTATGCAGATGCTGAGAATGTACTTCAAGTATGTGTACAGTATGCAACAGGTACCTACTTTAATTTGATAGTACGTTCTAAGTATATGCTAAGTATTTAAATATAGCATATGCTAGGCATATACTAGACACCTTAATACAGGATGTTTAATTAATATTGAATATTAAAGAATAAGTGTATATATTGAGTCTTTATTTCAAAGAATTCATACTTATTTTTATTACAAATACTATCTTTGGCCTTAACCAATCAATATTTTATTGTATCAATGGCTTGAGTTTCATTTGCTTGATTCCATTGGATCTTCATTGAACCTAAAAAAATAAAAAAAATTAACAAACTTGGTACATATACAAATTAAGTGTACATAGCTAATGGGATATTTTAAATATTTTTGTCCAACACAAAACAATAAAAATTGTACTTGGCATTCCACTAACAAAAACAAGAGTTACATAAGTGAATATGATGTATACTGAAAGTTTAAATATATTTTTGTTAATTACCACCATTTTGTAATTTTCGTCCTCCTTTAACTAACTTTTCTAGTTCTTCCAGGTCAGTATCTGGCTTTACAGGATTTTTTCATAGAAAGTGTGTATGTAATTCTGGTAACACTGTATTTTAGTTTCAATCCACCATTAGTAGTATTAACTATATTAATAAATTCACACTGGCAATTAATATTTGGGATATCCTGTATTCTAACGTCACTTATAGGTCCTATAAACTATAAATATAGTAAAATTTGTTTATTTTCATATAGAACATACTAATGCAATTAATTTTTATTAATTGACTTACCTCTTACAAACAAAATTTGTAGGAATTGTAGGTTATGTTATTCTTCTTCTTTTCTTCTATTTTAGTTTGAGAATGTTTTTTGGCCTAAACATTCAACTTTTGTGCGTTTGGTAGCGAATTATTAGATCGGCATCTGGGAAAAATTCATATAGATATGTATATAAACTTGTTCTCAGAATATGAGGTACATGCTGGGTATATGACTTCTAAGAATGTCTTGTTATAGCACGTGCTCAGTATATACTTTTTGGAATATACTTTTAAGGCACGTACTCAGTATATACTTTCTAGAATATACTTTCAAAGTATATTCTAGGTATGTTCTAAGAACATTCTAAAAGGATATACTAAAAAGAACTTAAACAGAACGTTCTTGGTATAGTCATAGAACATTGATGTTATGTGGGCTCGGACCAGTTGAAAGTTCCAAAATAACATCCACTCCAGGGATACAAATTCAGGATACGCAGAAGACTGCTGTTTTATTATAGGCGGTTGTCATATATTGTATTATCCGAGTTGCGCAATGCATAAACTAGAACATTGAGATCAAAAGTGCCGACGCAGAGTGGGCGTCTGATTCTTTAGCTATAAACTGTAGCATAGGAATCAAAATGGCCGCGCCCTATGTTGGGCGTGTCGGACCTCTCTCTTGCACCGTATAGTAATCAAAGTATGTGCGATACACAGACTAACGGTATGTTCCTGCGCATACAGCTGACTGACGGTGACGTCACGTGGGACATAGAATTATTAGTATTAAATGGGAGATAGTGTTTAAAATTGGATATTTCGCCAGTTTTAGATTTTATGCAGTTACTTAAGCTATATTGGTTATTTTGTAATATATTCGTTTACACATATGAAGGTTTAAGGTAAATAATACTAATAAAAAATATTAATTTTTCTCATAAATTATAGGCATTTTGTGACAAAATCCATAACCTGGCTATAAGAAAAATAAACAATATAGATTAAAAATACAAGTTTCATTTAAATTTGTACTTTCTGGGCATGTTAGTTATCTAGAAATACCTTTTCTTATTATGTGAAATAAAAATAAGTATGCAGAAACAAATTACTTATTTATAATAAGTAAATACACATAAAATTACTTTTTATTTGGTAAATTTAAACATTTTCTTTGTCAAGTTTACTTTGAAAATAGTCAAAACCGATCTTTCTGTTCATGTACTTATTCTTATATATGTTCGTGTCCTGCTCATAGACAGTAATACTTCAAAAGGGACCGTTGTATTGGGACAGGAAACTACTGTTTTATATTTATATATTTTTATTTTAGCAACCTTTCACTGTCTCTAAACCTATTATACTTGTCCATTTTACTAACCATTGTTTAAATTAAGTTTGTCCTTTCTTCGATAAGAATTTACCCACATTTTGTGGCATTCGGAAATATCTTACATTACACTATTTTTGAATTTCGTATTATGGTTTTTGGAAGTCGCCACTGCGCAGACCGCCATTTTAAACATTAATTTTTTTCTTTTATTGCCTTGGTTTTCTTTACTTGGCTTTGCAGTACTTGTAGTTAATTCTGCAGTGAAATCTGCGTCAGTAAGTACTTCAAGATCTGCAGCCGTGTATATTTTATTATTTACATGTAGTTTATTCTTTTTAATAGTTGCCTCGCAATTGTTCTGTCTTGCCTTTTATGTAGAATTTTTTTGTTTTTGTATTCCTCCTACGTGTAATCCCTTGAAATTGAAATCCCAGTTCCTTTTAATTTTGACAGGTTTTCTAAAATTGCTGTTAGTTGTTTATAATATATAAATTCAACAATAAGAGGTCTAGTTGTCACTTCTTTTCCAATTTTGCCTATCCGGTATAGATCTCTTATATCCTGAAATCTGCAGTCAACTTCACTTCTATCAAAGTAGTTATTTCTTCTAATTCGTTTTCTTCTTCCTTTAGGCTGTATATCACAAGATTATATTTCTTTCCCTTTCTTTCGCCATATTGCACTCTTCATTTTAGTGGATTTAATTCCGATTTAAATTAATTTTTCTTTTTTCAATTCTTTAATCTCATGCTCTAAATTATTTTTAAACTTTGTAACCTCTGCTTTTATTTCGTCGTTTTCTTTTTTAATTTCTTCACCGTTTGACTGTACGTTTTTTAGTAAGTTAAAAACATCAATAATAGTGGTATTTTCCTCTTTAAAAGTTATTCTTTGGTAAAAGTTTAATAAATTAAAGTCTCACTTATCCAATTGGTACTCAGCCTCAGGTGCTTTTGAACTTTTAGAAGTCACTTGCAATTAATAACAAATTTTTACAGTTTCTTTAAACTTGTCATTGACGAAATTTATTATGAGGGTAAAATAAATCTCGTTACATTACTAGTCAAAATCTTATGTTTTTAGTAGCTTACACAATTTCACAGAGCACTTTAACACGTTTATATCTTTCGTTCAATAAAAAAAAGTAGGCATATTTTTTAAGCCCACTAAGGATTTTTGAGTATCCTTAACTTGAAACACATATGTATACATAAATGGAATATCTAAACCATCAGGCCCTGTTCAATCTACTCTTTGATATTATGAAATTGTGAAATTATATTTTTTATATTTTTGAGCTCTACTGTACCTGATATACGGGCATCTTTATTCTGTCTAAACCCAAAATTGAGAGGATTAAAGCTACGCCGCACATTGCCCCATAAACTCCTATTAAGATGTCTGCCGACTTCGAAGGTAAAATCCGAAACCCTGACTCCGTCATCAGAGTAGAATTAGTCGACGAACTGGATACTGGGCACGCCTGCGCGCCACAAAGCCGTCCGTCTTCAGATTTGTCGAAAATATCGTCCAAAAACGCGCTGTAATCGTACAAACTCGAAGGATTGAAGTTTGTCGTATTCTGGCAGTGTGTAGGAGGATAGCTGGAGTTCAAAGGGCAATCCTAAAGAAACATTGAATTAAATTGAATGATATAATGTATATTGGCCGATGTCATTCATACGAGTTTGCAGTAAACGACAGCGATTCAAAATATTTATATTAAAAAAGTTTCGTTCTTTACTCACATTTAACACATATGTAGAATTATCCATTACTTGTCCATTAGTTTTAAGATTAACTGTACAAGTTATAAGCATCGCTGATAATACAGATCCTACGATCAGCCCAAAGTCATTAGATCCCTGAAAATACAAGAAAAACATAAAATTAAGGATATAAATTATGTTAAGGATGTTTTATGTACCCGAAAAGCTCTAGCAACCCTCCTGACAATAACAGTCCTTCTTGCCAATCGTCCTTCTTCATCTTCCTCGTGAAATAGTGATGTTATCCTCTGCGATAGTATAAGAAGAAACGATATATGTGAACTTGTCAGCATACCCTGTATTAGACCTAAGAGCAAATATGCTGGGATTGTCACGTAAAGAAACTGATAGAGATGAGATAAGTAGAATAAAATCATTGCACCTAAAAATAATTTAAATTAATAATAGTGATTATATAGAACAATTAGGACCTTTTTACCATTGCAAATAGCTATAGTAACACTAGCATCAATCCTCTTCAAAATACAAGGGGCAATCAGAGCAACAACCGCTGCAATAGCGAAACTGCTAGCAACGAACAAAGATCCTGTAGTAATGGTAGTCACATCTTCATTAACTGGTTGGTACCAAACGGAAACAGAACTTTGGAGTGCCAGGAATGGTAAAAAAGCCACCGTGGAAAAAAGGTGACTGAAACATATTACCACCAGATTTATTATCAGGATTTTCTTCGTGGAAGCTGTACCGCAGCCACCTCGTCCTGAAAAATGTTGATATACATTAGATATCTAACAATATAATATATAATATGTGAATAAATGATGCGGTAAATTATTTTGCAAGTACCGGGCAATCAGATCCACTAGGTTTACAAGTCAAAATTTCAATTATTAAGTAAAGCTTTCATCAATAATCAGCAAAATCAAAATAAAAATGACACAAAATACAAAAAGGACCCTCACCTTTTGCAATGATTCAAACACCAAAGAAGTAAGAATAGGTCAGGGTCATAATTGTCTATGCTAAGTTCTTATTATATAGTGTGTCTCTAAAGGTCTGTACAATGCATTAGCATAAATTGCTGAGGTTTACATTTGAGAATCTAGCCAATTCTTCGTCCAAAAGTTGATAGTTTTTCAAAATATAGGGTCTCAAAATTATTATTTACAAATTCATTGTAAATATTTGTCTTAATAATAGCATTATTTGTACTAAATTTATTACTATTTTTTAGGTACTACAACTACAATAAAAAAATAATGGTTGATAAATCGTTGTAAACGAGAAGATACTATGGATATAAAACGTTTACTTTTGTTTTAATACTTTCACTACATACTTTTACGTTGCTAGTTGTTTCTCACTTTTTGTTAGCTGTAGTAGTCATACTTTTTTATATTTTTGTCACATATATTTTTATACGAATTTTAAATTAAGTATTTTCATATTGAAATCTGCATTCATCAACATTTGACTACTATTTCGTGTAGTTGTTAACCATCAGAATCAGAATCTACTGGTATTGAGAAAGAAATATGAAGTACCAAAGAAATGAGAAACTACGAGGTGCAGATAGTTGGACTATCTGGAAATTCGCAATAAAAAACCTGTTGCGAGCATTTGATGGAGGGTATGAAATCTGTATCGTGGAATTGCACAAACCGATACTAATTCAAGGAGCAGTGTCTCTGGAACAGTCAAAGGAATATCAAAACGAACTGAAATGTCATGTCATTTCTAGTAGCTTGTGAAACTGCTAGAGACATGTGACTGAATCTACATAATATGCTCTATTTTAACAAAAACCTAACAAGCCGCGCATATTGTTCAAGCAGAATTCTTCGGCTTTAGCATGACCTCAGATTATGACATAGTCATCCACATTATACAGTTTGAAGGGCTAGTGTTACGAATGCAACAATTAAATGTAAAACCTAATGAAGCATCCTTAATGATCAGTATGAAAGTTTTTAGCAAGCTTGGTGGGCAAGATCGGAAGATCAACAGAAGCTTGATAATCTTATAGAAGTTTTAACTGCAAAAGAAATGCGCCAGAAGCAACGAGTTGGAAAACAGAAAGAATCTCTTGCATCATTGCCCATAAATCAAAGAACAAATCTTCTGTTACTGAGAATCAAACATCTACAAAATCCAGAAAGTCATTGTGGTAAAAGAGGCTACGTCCGGAAAGATTGTCCAGAAAAGAAAAAGTCTTCCTCCACAAATAAAAAAATATGAAGTTTTTGTTTCCGAAATTAAAAATGCTGAAAACGACAATGACTTTGTTGACTCTGGTGCTACTATCGACCACATAACTCATTACGCTGAATATTTGTTTAATTTTGGACCCTTCAGTACGCCTCTAAAAATGCATTTAGGTGATAATTCCACTATGAATGCCCTTGGAAGACGTTATATTTCTTTAGAAACTAAGATCAACGAAAGGTGGTTGTCATGCCGTATGGAAAATGCCCCATCTGCAAGAGGAAATTTATTTTCGGTACCCTCAGTAACTCAAAAGCGAATTACTTTTAAAATGTCAATTAATGTTTGTAAATTTGTCAAAGAAGATGTTGTTAAAGATGAAGGAATCCAATTCGGGAAGCCGTTCAGTATGTTCATACGGGTAAAGATTCCTGTAATTTCACCTGTCTACAAAGCAAATTTTACGTTAAACAACACGTAGCAAATGTGGCACAAACGATTCGCACACCAACGTAAATATTATCACGTTGCAGACATATTAAAAACTCACAAAGTCAGCTATATAGAAGACTAGACAGTTTTGCGGAGCAAGTGTAGAGGGTAAACAAGCTTCAAAGAAGCCAACAACGAGCGACTGAGCCTGGTGAAGTTGTTCATGCTGATGTATTGACAAAAATTTTAAGCAAATAATAAATTAAGTTATCCATTTTTAAACCAAAGTAAATTGGACTAGATCCTCATATTTTAGCTTCAGGAATTGGAGCTAGCGTTCTGTACAATTCTTTCAAAAACACCTTAAAAGTTATCTAATTCAGATACAATTTATAATTTTATCGCAAATGGAATTTGAAAATTAGTAAGTAAAAACAGCAGTGAATAATATTTTTTTCGTAAAATTAAACTAACGTCAAACAAAATACTATTTATGTATCATTAAAATGGTTTATACCATTATGTCCCCCGTGAGTCCCGCCTCTTACAACTGCCAAAAGTCTTCTTACTGATGTTGCTCCGATTGAACTATTAATAGAATCTCTTCTTCTAACATTACCATGTAAATGAAGATTTAACCTCGACCTTGCAGACATCGGGGAATACGTTGAGTGCTAAAAAATAAAATAGTATATTGTGATTTTGTGATTTTTAAAACAAATAAATGCAATATAGGTTTTTAAAAATCAGCTAATTTTCAAACTAAATAGACATTTACCTCTCCTGGAAATTCATCATAAATTATTTTGTTTGATTCTTGTGGGTTACTTCTAGCTTTGGTGATTCTATTATGCCCCGAAAATCTGTGTAGTATCTTTGATTTTTCAGCCTGTGTTAAGGTGCCGTTGCAACCACCGCATAAATGTCCAAGGGCAGGTCCTGAAAAATAATAAAATACTTTTAATTTTGAGACTTACTCCAGAACTATTGCATCTAAAGACTAACACATTAGATCTAAAAAATATCTATTGAGGTAGTATATTTTCCTGAATCAATTTTTGGTAGGTCTAGTTTATTTAGTCTGATTTAGTCTTTGATAACACTACAGTCTAATGGCTTATTTCTGTATCATATTTTACCACAAATGAGTTCATAGTTGTCCGAAAAGTGATGGACTTTTTGCAATCTGATTATATAATTTTTGTTTTCTTTTGACATACTCGACACAATAGATCTTCATTGTACACGCCTATTTTGTTTAGGTATTCCTTACTGAGGCATACCCATTCATGAGTCCTGTTTTTGTTTTTAACTGGTTCCTATTTGTAGAGATTGTTGCTTCTGTTATTTTTGTACATGATGTTCCTAATAAGTATAAAGGTTTTCCCATGTGCTTGTTATGAGACATCCTCCCGTAAATCTCTGAATGTACTTTTTACTACTCAAAGGTTTGTAAACGTTGATTTGTGTCAAATATATACTTCTTATTCTTTTTAGTAGGTATTTAATAAAATAACCAAGGAATTCGTAATGAAAATGAAGTAGGTCGATTTTAGGACATTTAACTTCTAGAGGGAAAGATTCAACTAGATCACTGTTGTAGTTTGGATTGGTTTATACCTGGATTGAAATTTGAAAAAGGCAAATAATAAAGAATGAGTATGAGTTCAAAATAAAATAGATAGAAACAGGGTAGAGTATAAAAAGCGTACACAGTATTAGAGGAAATATGAGAGACTAGATAATACTATTACCCAGCACTCTGCAGTAGCGTTATAGGAAACGTACAAATACAAAAAGAATTGCAATGTCATCCACAATACAGTGTGCTGCGGACGTCATAAGTAAAAGTACGAGGAAAAGAAGAAGATAAAATAGTCTAGGACAGGGATTCTTCTATGCGAACTCAACACGTAACGAATCTAATAGAAAGAGATATTACATAAAAACCGAAATCGGTGGAACGAAGATAGTCGTCTCAACACGTGCCATAATGAAAGATGAGAACCGCAATGCAAGAATGTCTGGAAATATCATTCTTGGTCAAGAAAAATCCAGATAGTTCGCTCGGGTTCTAGAATGTTAAAGCGAGCATATAGTCGTTATACTTTCATGTTATCAGTTATATAGTTAAATTGTAAGTGGTGAGTTGAAATAAATTAAGTTACCAAAAACCTGCGTAGCATTGGTGACAGCGGTGGGGTATAAAATAAAAGTTACCCAAGCATTTTATTTATGATAAATACTAGATCCACTACGCATGAAATAGATATGGATACTTCAGGCCCACCAGCATGCTTTTTGAAGATTTAAAGATGGAAAAGGAGAGAAGAGGAAAAGGAAAGGTGGAAGGAGAAAAAGGAAAGGCGTAGGAAGGGAGATGAAAATTCCCCATGATCTTCTGTTTGGCAGGCAGCCTCCTGGTGAAGAAGGCCGTACACCTCCCACGTACATACAGAACTTAAGAGAAAGATTAGAAAAGATATACAAATTCTCTCGCAGGCCACTGTAGGGTGTATGGCAACAATACCTATTAGCTAAAACATCTTAAAAAAATGTATTGGAAGAGAGATAAAGTTAATAGGTAATTGAAGACAGGGTATATAGTGAGAGGTTAGATTAGATTATATTAACAAGGAGTTGGACGTTGTTTGTCCTTGTCCACCGCGACCCTTTCAGATATATTCTGGGACTCCGTTTATTTATCGTCTAGCCTGTTCTTTTTTATTAGAATTTGACAGTGGCTCCCACATGTAGTTATGCGTTTGACTTTTCTTCGCTCAATGTTAGAAACCTCATTTAAGCCAGGCCTTCACATTGGCACAGTGGACTGATGTTTCCTCTACTTCTTCACAGAAACTGCACAAAGTTGCTTCTTCTGCTGGATTGATGATACTCATGTGCTTTCTAAGGCGACAGTGTCCAGTAAGAAGACCTACTATTATCCTAACGATTTGACGCTTTTGATCCAGTAGGTTTTTCGTGAACTTGGATGATGGTTACTTGATGAACTTTTTGGCCTGTCTTAGTCTTGTTGTTCCACTATTCCTGAGATTCTTTTTGCATCCATTGTTTGATGGATGCCTTGCACAATGCCTAAGCAACTCCACAGAAGGGTTCGGGACTTGTCATGGGCTTATCTGAGCCTTCTCGGGCTAATTCGTCGGTTTTTTCGTTGTCCTGATATCCTTCATGGCATGTCACCCAGGCTAGAGTCACCTTAGCTCTTCCAGGTCTTCTGAACAGTCTTTCACCAGTCGTGTTTTGATTTCTGATGAGAGATGCTTGGCTATTAGAGTATATGGCAATAGTTTTGCCTGATACTTGCTGATTTAGTATTTTTCTTGCACAGTGTTGTATGGCTATTAGTTCAGCCTGGAACATTGTTTCATATTTTCCTAAACTCAGCGAAATCGTTGTTTTCGACTTGGGTTCATGGATTCCAGCACTGGCTCTTTTCTTGGTTTTTGAACCGTCTGTGTACCAGCCGAGTTCAGCCTGTACGGGAGCTCCTTGTTTCCAGGATACTCGGGTTGGTATTTGAATTTGAAAATTTCTTTCAAATATGTGGTTATGACTCTATCAGTAGGCATACCTAGAATGTTATCCCGTTTTGACTTGCTGATATAGCCTTGTGTGGTCGGCGCTGTGTAGTTGGCTTATTTGATTTTGCCCCTGCATTAGCCAGTGAATAGCTGACCTGGTTTTTCCTTGTATGAAGATGTGCAGTGGCGTGAGATTTAATAATACCTCCTTTACTGCAGTTGGCGTAGTGCGCATGGCCTCAGTAGCACTTAGACAGGCAAGCCGCTAAATGCCAGTGAGTTGGTCCATTGCACTTGCCTGCTCAGTTTTGGTTACCCACACCACTGCGCCATAGGTTATCATGGGTCTTATCACCCTTCTATATAACCATTGGTCATTTTGAGGCTTGGACCCCATAATTAGAGGTTATATGTTTGCTAATATTATGATTTTGGTTTATTTTTTTTTATAAATTAGTGACTAAAGTGTATTTGACATGCTCATGATTTTAGTAAATCATTATGAGTTTTAGAGCGATATTTAGATACCAGCCAAATGTATTAGGAAGATCAAAAGAGAAAATGACTTGATTTTAAAGAAGGAATTCATGAAATTTTCCATAACAAAATATACAGTGTGTCTACGTAAGTTGACTACATATGGAACATTTTTTAATATTAGTTTTATCAAGAAAATGTATAATTCATACCAAATTATGCATGATCTTAAACCTAAAATACAACAATCATATATCAAATTCGAATTCGCTCCGTGCGTGTAGATAGCGCTAACTCAAATATGTACTAAAGGAGGATTTTTCGTGTATGGACACTATCATTTTTAATAGAATTCCTAAATAAAAATGTATTTTTTGCTTTTAATAAAAGTTTATTGATTTATATATTATATATTTTTATTACTACTATAGCTAAAGAAAAATAAGTATATTTAATAAAAAAATTGTTCAAACATGTGCACAGAACAGGTAATTAGGCAACAGTATTTACGAGGAAGTGTATGAAAAGTTGCCTAATGAAGTTAAAGGTTATTCTCAAACGTGTATTCAAAATTAAATCTAAAAAAAAATAGTTGTAATATATTGTAATATTTTCGAATGTAATTTATACTTGTTTTCATCATTTTTAGTTCGAAAGAAAACATAGAATTAATTATTAAATCACTGTTTTCCAATTAGTCACTCACAAAATTGCATTCCAGATACAGACAATAATCAAAATCAAAGGCAGAAATATTTCAATTTTGAAGAACATCGTAAAATAATAATAATTTCAGTATACAAAACCTTTCAGTTTTAAGATGTCTAGTATTTTCAATAGGTATTAGATACTTTTGTTACAAAAATAAAGGTTTGTAATTACTTTTGATTTCTTACCCATTATAAGTACGTTTATTTCTTTGATTTAATTTCCATTTTGCTAGTGAACATTTATAAAATATACTGTTTTTTAGCTAGTATTTTTACAATTTACAACAGAGTAATTCCGGTTCCTCATTGTTTTGCTTTAAACTATTTTTTTTAATAATTAAATATATACGTATATTTGATACGCCAAAATTTCAAAATATCGCCCTAAATTGCACGAATTATCCGCTGCTAGCGCTAGTATCGCTTTTGCTTCTCCTACCATGAATTCGCACTGAGCGAATATGAGGTTTGTCAAAAAAAAAGTAGATTTTTGGTCAAGAGTAAATTACATTAAGACTCATAAAATTTGATATAATTATGATGGTTGAATTTTAGGTTTTACACTATGGATAATTTTTTATGAAGAATACATTTATTTGATGAAACTAATAATATAGTATATTACATTACGAGTGTGGAAAGTGACATTTTTCACACGAGTGGGAAATAAGCCGAGTGCGACTATCACACGAGTGTGGAAAATCACTTTTCACACAAGTGATGTACAATATTTTTCCTACGACCACAAAATAATGTCATCAAAAAAATGTAAAACCAAGGTTATTATTACTATAATAATTAAAATGTATTTAAAAAAATAATCAACAATAATCGTATTTATTCAATTTTCATATTTTCTAAACAAAAAAAAACTAAAAAAAAAACTAAAAAAAAACTAAAAAAAAAAACAAATTGATAAGTCCGACGTCCTAACCACCTGAGTTAATAGCCCTTATGTCAATTGAATGATCTAATTGGTTATGTATTTAACCAGAATAAAGAGCAAACATTATTTTAAAATTATTTTAATAATACTTGTTAAAGATAAATATCTAGGATCTAATTTACAATTTCAATAATTTAACAATCATATCGATTTTAGTATTAATATAGACATTACATAGATCAAAATAGAAATTAGGTGTTTGACATTTTGTGACAACTACTACGGAAAGTAACATATTCACACTCGGGTGGAAAGTAAATT